TTCCGGGAGGGAGAGGAGGATAAGATGGTTGTTGTGAAAAGGTTATACATTTGTGGATTGTCATCCTGAAGTGATAGAATTAGTTTTCATAGTTGTTGATCAAGAATAGACCTTGGAGATAGGCAAGTAGTTAGCTGTCAACAATTTTCAGATTGTTCTGTTTGTATATGGCAGACGCAAAGAATTTTATAATTGATCGCCGTAGATGTTTTGATTGAGCACACCCTGGGATTGTATTTCAAGGTCATTTTCCATAACATCAGGAAATAAAAAAGCATATTATATCATCTGGACAATTAGAGTTGAGTTGTTTGGATTTCACTAAAGTTTACGTTGTGCTTCTGTCTGTCCCAACGCCTAGATACCCACAATATAATCACAGAGAGGAGCGGTCCTATACTAACCAATACTATATTAATATAGTTTGTTATGTGTCCGGACCGGAGCCCTCCTCCGCAACAACCGTTCTGTGACAAATTGCCCCAAGGGAACTTTACTTCCCCAAGACTCGCAATGCATCCTACGACCAGCAGGGTTCCAATTATATTTTTTAATGATTTTTTTTAATATTTAGACCCATAGTTACAACAGTGGCAGTATGGCTTTTTGTTTCAATTATCAACATTTTTTTTTACAAGAGCTAAAATTGTTAATGTCAATGATATTGATATGTTTTAAGTACGGTACTGGTATGTTCATTTCATTGTCATCACTAAGTGTTATTTCAACCATTTCTCGAGCGGCATATTGTGTCCTTACTTATGATACTCATTAGAAACTAAACATTAATACACAACTCTGAGATATAAAATATTTATTATAAAGTAAGTTATTAATATTTATTTGTTTATTTGAGAAAAAACAAATGGATGTTAAAGTCTATGAGTGGAATTATACAAAGAAAATTAACCAGTCAAAAGAGCTTAAAGTATATCACAATGTAGTTAGAACAGCTGTATCTGGCTTAAACATGGTTTATGCAGCTCATCTGCATGTACATGTTTACAGTTTTTTGAGGAAACTTGAATGAACATTCTAACAAAATAGATTGAAACTATAATTTTGAATACTTACGTTGTTGGATAGAATGAAAAGTATAATAAAATTGTATAACTAAAAAGTATAATAAAACTATATGAAAATTATAATAATAGTAAAACTATGTGAACAGAATAATAAAGCTATATGAAGAGTATAGTTATAACATAACAATACGAAATAACCTTTAAATATTTTTTTTAAAAAATATTTATTTGTAAAAAGTAGCTTCCCCGGCGGGGAATCGAACCCGGTCTTCCGGGTGACAGGCGGGGATACTGATCACTACACTACCGAGGAGATGTCTGCAAGAGAACTTTGTATTTTATATTCATAATTTAATTTATCACATTCTGCGAATAATGCCAAGCGTTATCGGCAGACCGAAATCTGCAAATAACGGAGAGTGTTATCTGCACAACTCTGTGAATAATAACTTTGTATGGGTATTAAGAAAACAATGGAGAGAATCACTCAGAAATTCTATTGGCCAGGAATTCACAGAGATGTGAAGAACCATATTAATAAATGCAAACCTTGCATAACTAAAAACCCCATACATAGTAAACATAAAGCATCTGTCCAGCCTACAGATAAGATTGGTAGGAATTTTGAAAAAGTTGCCATTGACATCATTGGTTCTATAAATCCTCCATCCAATAAAGGACATAGATTTATCCTAACCATGATAGATATGTCTTCAAGATGGCCAGAAGCAATCCCTCTTAAAACAATCACTTCTGAAGCGGTATGCATGGCATTATTAGAGGTATTCACAAGATATGGATTTCCTGACAAAATTCTCTCTGACAATGGAACCCAGTTCACATCAAACTTAACAAATGCAGTGACCAAAATAATAGATATGATACAAGTCCATTCAACCATATACTGACCACAAGCTAATGGCATGTCAGAGCGTTGGAATAAGACCCTAAAAACAATGCTGGCAAAGGTCACAGTAGATCATACAAAGGAATGGCAACTTTATATACCCTTGGTTCTGTTTGCTTACAGAGAAAGTATACAAGATACCACTGGATATTCTCTATTCGAACTGATGTTTGGAGCCAACCCTAAAGGACCATTAACCTTATTTAAAGAAAATATTTTAGGACACAAAAAGGGAAGAACAATATAAATTTGATGTCATTACAAAAATAAGAGAAAGAATAGTATATGGAATAGAAACAGCAAAAGAAAACACAGATAGAGACGCAAAAAAGACAAATACACATTAAAAATTCAAACAGATATCTGAGAAATCTAAAAATAAATGATCAAGTTTTCGTATGGCTACCTAATAACAATGGACAAAAAGTTTGGCAAGGTCCATTCACTATTCAGGACAAAATTAATTTGGTTGATTATGCAATACAAATGAAAGGAGAACTAAAAGTACTACATGTTGATTTGATTAGAAAATTTGACAACTATCCAGAAGCCTGCCTTAGTGAAATTACCAAAGAAATATTTATTTATTTATTTAGGCATTTTTATATAGCGCTTATCATAAAGCTCTAAGCGCTTTACAATTATTAAAACATGTAAACTAAGTAAATACAAATGAGACACTAGGATAGTAACTACTATTCTATAGAAACAATGAAAATGGCTATAAAAAGAGGACACTTTGACACTTCAGGATTAAACCGAAACAGAAAATTAGGTAGGGCAACGAGGGTGCATCACAGGTCATAGGCGGACCTGTTCATATTTCTTTAATAAATATCCAACTAAGAAACCATTGCAACAGTAATACAACTAGAAGAAAATCAAAACAACACAAACATAAATAGACAACTAACTACAATAATGAAGGAATACAAGGATGTTAATCACAATTGGCCACATCAAAACCATTTATCACAAAATCATATTAACAGAGGAGCCGACATTTAAGTATCCCATTCCTTATACATACAGAGAGGATGTTAGGAAAAACTGAACCACCTTTTAACAACCAACAAGATTAAAAGATCAAATTCACCGATCTCTTCTCCCATGATTGTAGTCAAAAAGAAAAATGGACAACTCTGCATATGTTGTGACTACAGAGAATTGAATAAAATAACCCAAACTGGATGCTGAACCCATGAGGGACATGAGAGCATTACTTGAAGAGATAGGTTCCTCAACAATCTTTACTTTACACATCTCAACTTAAATAGAGGATTTTGGCAAATATGAATGGATAAAGATTCCACTGCATTCGCTACAGAAGAAGGACTGTTTGAATGGATAGTGATGCCATTTGGGCTAGTCAACTCAACTGCCACATTCTCTAGATTTGTGAGAATAATGCTCACAGGAATGCCCAATGTTGTGCATTTTGTAGATGATATTTGTGACCTCCACGACAAAATGAGTCGCTTCTCACCTCGGCCTATTTTGAGCTAGAGTCAAAAATATGTGTTTGGGTCGAAAAGGATCGATTTTGGGATTTCGATTATTTGTAATTATATATTCATTTCTGCGCACATCTATAATAATAATATTATTTTTAAAAAATTAAACCTATAACTTATTTAAAAATTACTTTAAAAATAATACCCTGTAAGATTTTCATGTAAAATCTGCGTAAAATTGAGCATATTTATATTTTGTTGAAGTTGAACGCTATTTTCTTCATTATCCTTTCGAGCTAACTCGCCATGTTTGGCATCATTGGAAAGAGTATTCTCCCTTTTATTATTATGTCTAACGTACACGTAGGCTTTATAAATATCAACCAACCAAAAGGCTTAAATTAATAAAGGATTTTTCGGAAAATAATGTAAATAATGCTGTCACTAGGAAGGGAAAGCCGTTTTTTCATTGAACGATACTAGCACGTGACTTTTTCTAACCAACCCCAGCGAATGTTTATGCTTAACTTTTCAACATGGCTGCCTCCAGTACGAAAGAAATTACTATCGCTTAAACACTTAATTCGGCAAGAAATGCAAATATTAATGATGAAAAAGATTTGGAAAGTGTTGAAAATATTATACAAGAGTATTTTACAACACGAGCATTGGATGACACTGACGGGTTGAGTCTGAAGCGAGTGATGACGAAGAAAATGACCCACCTTTGACTTTGATCGAAGATGTTTCTATAAACAATCAAAGCTATAGTGGCGTTATGCAGCCAGACGAAGAAAAGAATAAGGTGGCATCTTTTGATTGCCGATGCTCGATAAATTCATCGCATAGCTCTGTCTCGACCTCAATAAAAAAGGGTGCATTGGACAATTCACAGCTGATGAGATTTTAGGGCGAAGGCTGGACATGCAGAAGGTAAATATATTATTTATTCAGCCTTTAAGTGTTATTCATATTTTTTATGGTTAACACTAACACTTATAACTAGAACTAGATATTAAACAGTAAACAAATAGGCTAATTTAGGCCTATTAATTAATTTACTAGGCCTAAACCACTACGCTCATACTATTAAAACCGTTACTAACACTAAATGAATTACTTAGAGCTAGACATTAGGCTTATGTGCAGTTGGCTAGATATTATGTCATAGAATGTACAGATGTAAACTATTCTATTTAAAGATTATTGAAAGTTTCTATTCTATTTCTATCTCTTCAGCTGAAAAGGACATGATATTTATAGGCATACTGGCTGGTAGCTCTACAAATAGCAGTGAGTTGACAATTGATAAGCCTAAAAGTAAGAAAGTTGGAGAGAACCTCCTACACTGTTAATGGCAAGAATGTTTGCAGGGAGGCATTTAAGTTTATATATGGGTAAGTCATCTGGATGATTGATATTTTTTTAACTGAGATGCTCAAAACATAAAACACATATGATTTAATGTTAAAAAAATTTTGGAAACCAGGTAGTAAAAATCATTATTAATTTAATGTTATTTTAATGTATTTTTAATGTTTCAGAATTAGCCAAAACAAGCTGACCAATGTCCAGAAAGGATTCAGGGCCTGGAGGGATACAGGCAGTATTCCGGAAAAGAAGTGGGGCGGTAGAAGGTTAAATAAGCATGCTTTAAAACCTGATGACGTTGAGCGGGTTGTTACCTTCCTGCGGAACTTTGCAGAGGACCATGCCCTGGTTCTACCCCGTCGCATTCCTGGCTTCAAAAGAAGTGATGTCAAGATCCTGCCTTCTTCACAAACTAAAGCAGCTATTTGGCGACATTATAGAAATTTGGTTGTTGCAAGAGGTAATAAATCAATATTAACTTTCAATTATATCTAACAATCACTTTGACACTAAGTATAATTTAGAGTGATTTCAAATATTAAAACTTGTAGAAATTTTGAAAAGATAACCACAAGATTTTTTTTTTTATTTGCAAAATAAATCAAATCATATATTTATTTTTTCTCTTCTAAATATTCTTTTTAATTTTTTTTTTGCTTTATGAATTTTTACAGTAAAATAGTAAATCATAAAGTTATATTACAATATTTATTTCAGGTCAGCAAGCTGTTGGAAAGTCCTTTTTTCTTCTTTGGAAGCAGTATGTACCTTTCATTGTAGTTGGAAAGCCTATGACAGATCTATGTTGGCAGTGCAAGCAAAACAATGAAAGAATTTGACGCTCAGTGAATATGGATGAAGAAGAAAGAATGGTAGTTTTGGGCAACCAGATGGCACACTTGCAGACTGTAGAGGAAGAGAGGAGGCTCTACAACGACATGGTTCAAAAGTCTAAAACAGCTGCAGCTTTGGCTGGCATTACAGAACTTGGCCGTCATTTTCCCAACTCATTGGACGCCACAATACACTTCAGTTTTGACTACGCACAGCAAGTACATTTACCCAGCACCCCTTTGCAACCTGGTCCCATCTATTTTTTAGTGCCAAGAAAAGTAGGCATTTTTGGCATTTGCGCAGAAGCTATACCCCAACAAATGAACTACCTTATTGACGAAGGCATGACAAGCGGCAAGGGGTCAAACATGGTCATCTCTTTGTTGCACTATTTTCTCGAAAACGGTTTCGGAGAAAAAAGGATAGAACTTCAATGCGATAATTGTAGTGGTCAGAACAAAAATAGATTTGTCCTTTTTTATTTAGCTTGGAGAACTATTACAGGTCTCCATGACCAAGTATCTGTGAATTTCATGCCTGCCGGTCACACTAAATTTGCTCCGGATTGGTGTTTTGGTCTGCTGAAACGCAGATTTAGGATATCAGAAGTTCACTGTCTTCAGGATCTTGTGCGCACGGTCAACACCAGTACCCTGAAAGGGATCAATCGTGCACAGTTAGTGGGGACAGAGTCTGGGGAGATTCTTGTACCAGTTTATGATTGGCAGCAATTTTTTAATGGCCATTTTCGACCTCTAAAGGGTATTAAAAGCAATCAGCACTTGTGTTTTAGAGCACAGTCACCTGGCATTGTCTTCTATAAACAGAAGTAAGCTGAACCTGAACAACAGTTTGCCATAACTCCTAATGTGCTTGCTGTTCGGCAACTACTAAATGGTCTTCCAACAGTAATTAACCCACCAGGTCTCTCGGCAGAGCGTCAAGAATATTTGCACAAAAACATACGTCCTTTTGTGCGATCTGATGTGCAGGATGTTCTTTGTCCTTAAACTTCTTAAGTTGAGCAACACTTTGATTTAATTTTTATGTGTCTAAGTTAATTACTTATTTTTTTATGATTTTTTTAAAATTCATTAAATTGTGTATTTTTACATCCTTTTGGAAACATTTCAAAATGTGACAAAACACCATTTTCATTTCAATAAATTTTTAAAATGTAACAATTTAAACCCATGAAAAAAATTGAGTTTGTTCTCTATGTATATGAGATTGTAATGAGTGTAAGTGATTGTGTTTAAGTCATTTACTTCTACAGATATGGCTTTGCAAAATGGTACTTTATATTGTGTTTAAAAAATCAAAATATGAAGATTTTAAAAAAAAATCATTTTAAATAACTATGGGGGATATATGGACAAATGTGGTAACCACATTCTTAGAATCATTAGATCTCACTCAATCACCAAAAAGAGAGCTGTAAAACGATTTTTAAAAATCAGTTTGTGGTACCTACTAATACACCTTACTATTTTTTTTAACTAAAACCTAAATTTTTATATTTTCTTTTTTACGCATAACAAAAAAAGTATATAACATTTTCCTTTCAAATATTCCACATATCTTGAGTAAAAAGGGTTGAATCAGTGTGCCTAATTTAAACAAAATCCATAAACGTTTGCTAAGGAAATTCTTAGTCCGAAAAATATATTTAGTAAAATTAAAATCAATTTTTCTCAAAATCAGGGCTTGGATAGTGGCTCCAATAAAATATTCATAACTAAAAATGTTACTGTCCGATTTTCAAGCGGTTTTCACCGTTGAACTCAGAATTAAAAGATATATAAGACTAGATAAAAATCTCAAAATGGCCATGAGGTGAGAACCGACTCATTTTGTCGTGGAGGGTCACATTTGTGTACACACAAAAGATATGAAAACACATGTAGAAACACTGAGACAAGTAGAAAAATTAAGAACACACGGGGTAATCATTGCACCAAATAAACTGAAATTTGCTCAAGATCAGATCGATTTTTTGGGATTCAGAGTTGGTAAAACATGTACATTTTATCTCTAAAAATTTTGTTGCACAAATTTTTTTGTATGGGTAGGGCGTGTAACAGACCAAGTGGGCTGTGATTTTACACACGACACTATTATGTCAGGATGGCGTAGTAATTTGAGCATAACATTGTAATAACTTGTAAATCACTAGAAAAGAGGGGGGAACTAATTTATAGAGCGGAAGCACTGGACGCTTAAGTAGAGAGAGGCAGAACACGATTTTTATCCGACAGGGATGGCAAACATGTTTTATTTCTCTCATATGGATTATTGAAGTATTATGATTTAATTGTGATGTGGAATATTGAATAAGTGTGTGATTATGGCATCCTAGAATTATTGCAGGATATCCCCTTGGCAAGACTTATTATTGTTGTGTTTATTAGTTATAATAAAGTACTGTAAAATTTCATTGGACGATGACACTTCATTGTATGAGAGGACAGCTAAGTTTGAGTTTGCACAGAAGTGTAGGAGATTGTCAAGGGAATGAGAATCACTGTTATGTGTAGATGATTGTTTTCATGTTTGATAGGGAAAGATGTTGAGTTAGAGATTTTACGTGTAGCTGTATCGTTTGTGTGAGAGTGTTGTGACGTAATTGTGTAAGGGGATATGACACGTTAGTTTTTGTCGATGTTGTGATGGGAGGATTGATGGCGGATATACTGGATGAGCTGATTAGATTTCTATATTGAGTAGTGTTTGGTTGGAGTGATTTGATTATCAATTCTGAAATTATACATCAACCATAGTTAAGGGAGCAGTGTTAAATAAACTCCTATCTAGCTATGAACCTGTTAACGTTGTTGTATTATTAACTGTTGATATTAGCTATACTGTTCGTGGGATCAAGTGAGAGACTTGGCCAGACAAGTAGACACTCATTGCCATGAGTGGATAATTACAACACAACAGATTCAACGGTGCGACAGAGATCAGTAAAAATGGGAGCATATGTTGATTGAAGATAGGCTCTTTGCCATACATCTTATAGTATCGTGTTATTTATTCAATAGGTCTGTGTGAAAGTCACATGTGAAGCAAATAGACAAGATCAGTTATATTTTACTCCAGTTATCGGAGATATGTTTATGTATTTCATGTAGTGTAAGTTATACCTAATAAAGTGTGATGCTCAATACATGGACTTCTTTGTGCTTTGTAAAATGTGAATAGTTAACGCTACTACTATATTTACAAGTAACATCTTTATCATCACCACGATCGTTACAAATGGTGTCAACATCATAAGCTCTCTATCAGAAGAACGGAAGAAAAGTTATGAATGCATTAAAGCTGACTTACTCAAATATTTTGGTAAATCTGAGGGTGACTTCAGAAAACTATTTCATTCAATCAGAATTGACAGAATTCAGATCCCCATACCTTACTATTCAACATAAAAGATAACTTGATAAAATGTTTGTAGTTGGCTGAAGTAGATGTACCCCAATTCATTATTGGACATGTTTATGGTTGACAAAGTTCTAAGACACTCTTCCGAGCCATTGTTCACATTCTTAAAAGAGAGGAAAATGAAAACAGAAAAAGATCTCGCAGATGCTATCTGTACTTTTAAAGACGCCCACCCTAATGAAGCACTACACCAAAGACCAATAGCTGCAGTAACAATAGAGAGCAAACCAAGTGCAAAATCCTGAAAAAACACAAGTAATAATAGATTTAGTAGCCTACCTGCAAACTATCAAAGAAACAATTATATCAATACACCAATTATTCGTCTCACAATGCATGTTTTCATTGTGGAAAAATAGGACATAGAAAGGCAGATTGCAGTAAATTTCAGTAAATTACAAGGGAAATGGCTTATTATAGAAATAAATTTAGATCATATAGAGCTTCACCAAATAGAAACAACTTTAGAGCCATATAACACTCAATTTAGAAGCAGGGAAAGACAGAGAAATAATAACAGATACCCACCTAGACAACAAAACAGCTACCCAAGACAGAATGTCAGGTCATAATCACATGTTTATGTTATGTGTTTGGTTTAATAATTGTTTCAGTGAGCAACAATGTTTTCTTTAGGCACTTCCCCATAGTTCGCACCACTTTGACTCATGAAAGCTCTACACACATTTCCAGTGGTGCAAAATATTGATGCAAGAATTAATATGAATGCAGATTTTTGTTTTGGATGTCAGGCTGAATTTTTGTTTTAAGAAATGAGTGACTGATTTGTTACACTGGTTCCTGGAAATTCAACTGTTTCACAGATGAATAGTATTGTTGATGGTTGGTTTGTTATGCATTTTAGTCTTGGCACAATACATAAATAATTAAAGTATACATTTTACTTCAAACTATATCCTGAAGTTCTTATCAGAGAGAGTGAAAATGGAGTTTAGGCTCTGATTCGATAGTGTTGTTTAGTTGTCAGTGGCCGTTGGAATAGGGACCTACCCCTAGACGACATTTCGCCACAGTTGGGGCTCGTCTACACAGTGAGCCATAACATCCATACCAGCCTACATTTCGCTACATTGGGGGCTTTTCTACACAGGGAGCCATAACGTCCATACAGCCTACATTTCACCACAATAAGGACTCATTAAACAAGCCACAATATATTAATCACACTAGGTCTTATCATTCAGAAGTGTGAGGTTCCCGTTAAACCAGCAATAGCAGTCAAGTTAAAATGGGCTAACCAGCCATAAAAGCCGCAACCATTAGCTACAATCAAAGTAGCCATACCAGCCCACCATTTGTCACAGTTTGGACTCTCCGAGGCAGTCATATCGATTATAATTATAACCATCCACAACAGTAGGTGCGCATCAAGGCAAACATCCAGGCCTACCATTTGCCACAGTGCTGGCTCGTCAAACCAGATGCACTCCAGTCAAACCAGGCCGTAACCATTCACTACAGGCCCGTCGAGCCATACCAGTCATACTTTTCCCACCACAGTTGAGGACATACCAGTCACTGTGCAAGTCTTTCAAACCAGCCATACCAGCTTGTCAAAACAATCATCTATATCAATAGAAGCACTCCCAGCAAACTAGTCATACCAGGTCGTCAAACCAGCTATACCAGGCTGTCAAACCTGCCATACCAGACGACTAGTAACCACAGTTGACCAGGCAAACCAGCCATATAAGCCCTAATAGACAAACAAGTTTAAACGCACTCCAGTCATAAACCTTAGGCCCGTCGAAAGTGCAAAACCAGTTATAATTATCCAGGCCATCGAAAAAGACATACTAACTTTAACCATTCGCCACCCTAGAGGCCAGTCAAAAGAGCCACACTATTCGTAACTATTTGCTACAGTGGAAGACCTTCAAATAAGCCATACCAAATTAGCCACATAGGACCAATGGAGGCACCAGACATACCAGACCGGAAACCGATCTTCCTAAAACTATACAAACGAACACATGGATTACACTTTGCAAGACAACCGACAGATTATTTTAAGTAAATTATTTATCAATTTCCATTGCTATTTCTATTGGTTTGATATGGTTTAAATTAAGGATCTACAATTTGTAAGTAGCCTTAAATTAGACATTTTCTTAATTCACTACGTACCCATTTGTATTGAAACTGTGCTCCATTTTTTATTTTGTAAATTTTTTAAAAACAATATATAATTGACTTAAACTTTGCAACATAATGGTGTTACCAAACATTGCCGAAATTAAGCAAATGGCGATAGATTTGAGATTGGAAGGTGAAGAAGCAAAACAATGAGTAATAAATAGGGAAAGAGACATTCGGGACAAGGAAAGAGCCATTCGAGATGAGGAAAGAGCCATTCAAGACGAGGAAA